GCAGACTTAGAGACTGTGGGGAAGGTCAAGGACAGCTTGTGAGTTTCTGTCCTGGGTACTTGGATTGATGGTCAGTGTGCAGAGAGGCAAGCAGAATGGGATGGGCAGACCACAAGCTCACATGTAAAATGATGCCAATCTGTGGTCCTAGGGAAGCCCACTCCACCCTCTAAGGACAACCCAGTCCCTTGACACAGAGCACTTCTGTGAATGAATCGTGGGGGCTCTTCCCACACACCACACAATTTTCCAGTGAGCCCCTGGAGAGTGAGTGTTCTGGCCGGTCAGCTGGACTCCTGGAGTCCCATTTGCCCTGTCTGGTGAAGGACTCTGGGTGGTGAGCCGCTGTACTACCTTAGGCCTCACTTTCCCCATCTGTGAAGTGGGGGTGTAACATTGTGACAGCAGAAGAAGTGTGCACTTGGTCTCTGCACCTGGTTCCACCTGGCTTCCAGCTCCTCAACCCCCTTCAAAGTGGCAGAGGAGGAGAGTGTCTGTGAATACTGAGGAGATGACTGGTGGCTTCAGGGTGAGGCTGGTCACCAAACATTCAGCCCCATCTCCCCAAACCTGAGAAGGGAGAGGAGCTGAAGGTTGGGTTGGTCCACAATGACCCGTGATTAGTCAATCATGATTGCCTGATTAGGTCTCTATGAAAAGCCCGAAGGACTGGATCCCGCAGCTGGTAGCCAAACACATGCTTCTCCCACACACCTGCTCAACGCATCTCTTCCATGTGGCCATTCACCTGTATCCTTTGCGGCATCCTTAGAATAAACCAGAATAGTAGTCATCTTCTGAGTTCTGTGTGTCGTCCTAGCAACTTCATGGGACCCACTGAGGAGGAAATGGGAAACCTGATTTATAGCTGGTTGGTGGGAAACACAGGTCACAGCACGGGGCTTGTCACTGGGGTCTGCAGGACTGAGTCCCCAGCTGTGGGATGTGACTCTAGCCTTGGGTAGGTGATGTCACACTGGCTTGAACTGTAAGGCACTCAGTGGTGGGGGCCCAAGGGGACAGTGTGTCCTGGACTAGAAGCCAGCTCATAGTCCCTGGAGAACAGAACAGCTCTGTTTTGTGAGAGTGGTCTGTGCCCTGACCCCGGCCAGCTGTCCCGTCTGGATCTGGAGTGGGTAACGTGAGCATGGGGTGTGGGGTGCCCACCTTGAGTGGACAAAGGCTCAGAGTGGGGGGCTCACCTGCTCCCCCAGATGCTGTATTGAGCAGAATTATGCCAGATCTGAAGTTCCCCTTCTCAGCCCCTTACTGGCCATGGGATTTTGGACAAGGGGCCTTCCCTCTCCAGGCTTCTGTCTTCTCATCTGTAAAAAGGAACTATCCCAGAGAGTGACTCTGGTGCTCCTTATCTGAGATAAAGATCAGACGAGAAAATGGATGGCCAAAAAGTACTTTGTAAACTGTCAGGTGCCTAGACTTCTGTTCGGGCCCAGTCCCACCTCTGTCTCTTATCTCTGCCCAGCTGACTTTCAAAACTTGGCTCTTCCACAAGATTGCCCCTCCTCCAAAAGGAAAAAAAGGCTGGTCCGAGCTTGAGGACCTAGCAAGCCTGACTAACCCATTGGACAGATGGGGAAAACTGCAGATGGCCTTTATTTAGAGGCAGCAGGCTGTCAAGCCCAGATTCACAGGCAGGCTCTCTGACTCCCAAGGTGAGAATGGTCCCTACCCATCCAGTGCTCCCATCACACAAATGGGGGAAACTGAGCACTGGAGAGGGGAAGCCATTCCCAGATGAGCAGAAGTGGCCCTGAGGTCCCGTTTGCCAGGCTCTGCTCTTCCTGTTGCCTGGCCTCCCAACCCCTCAGCTTGATAAAGGGTCCTGTCACAGTGGAATAGTCAGATGTGTCACTGGAGACTCGAGGTTCCTTGCGAGCTGCCTTTTGGGGCTGAGGCTTTGCTGACTCAAAGCTGACAGGGAGTGGGGTTCCTCCTGCCATGTCCTCGCCATGGCCAGCTTTTGGCCAATGCCAATAAAGGAGGTCCCTGCGATCTTTAGAGATAACTGGGGATTCAGAAAATTAATTGGAGAATTCACATGCTTCAAAGACTGGACGTGTCTTTGGGGATCAATAGAGGGCTTTACTGGGGGCCTGTAGAGAGAGTTCTTCCTCCATTTTCCAGACAGTGGAAGTGAGGGCTGGCCAGGCTGGTGCCACAGTGGAACAGCAGATACCACTTAGTGAGGCTGCATCATGTCCCAGCCACCTTGTGAGGATTCCACATTTTACCTTACTTGATACTTACAGTAAACCTCTGAGTTCTTACTGCTTTGATTTTACTGGTGAGACAGGCAAGGCACAGAGAGGTAACTTCACTTAGCCAAGGACACACAGCTTGTGAATGCTGGAGCCTGGTGTGTACACTTAATCTGACTCCAGGGCCTGTGTCACTAGCCATTCTGCAACACTGCTCATGTGCCACAAGACACCTGGGTATAAGTGCCACCCAGAGGGCCAGCAAAGCCCAGCCAGGACCCCTGGGTACATGGCAGTGGCCACGTATAGCAGGACTGCTGCTGGGACCAATACAAGACACTGAAAATCAGCACTCAGCCCAAGCTTGCCACTCACTGTGACACTGGGCAAGTCTTCACCTCAAGAAAACGGGGACGTTGGTACCAGCTTCACAGAGCCACTGTGAAACATTCAACAAGCCCCGTGAAGCTTTTAAGATGCTCAGCACAAAGCTGGATCAGAAGAAAATGCCAGGGCTGGCGGAGTGGCTCAAGGGGTAGAGCATCTGCCTAGCAAGCGTGAGGCCCTGAGTTCAAACCCCAGTACTGCAAAAAAAAAAAAAAAAAGAAAGAAAAAGAAAATGCCAACAAAATGTTACCTATTTTTATTCTTTGTGATTTTTATATGTAGTTATTCATTCCTATCAGTCATATTTTATTTCTGCACCCCAGTAGGCAGTTGGGGTTTAGTTCTGTTTGGAGACAGAGGGCTGTACATACAAGATGACCTCAGGGACCCCATATGTATTGGGAACCCTACCCACCCAAGGATTTTTGGCTCACACATCTTCTCTTTGCCCCTAACATCTGTGGCAGTAGCTGTGGTCTCTCAGAAGTCAGCTCCCATCCTTGCTCCCCAGGTTCCCTGGCTCTCTGCCTGTGGTCCCCATTGACTAGATGCTGTTGCTATGGCAACATCTTAAGAGCCTCTGACCCCCCTTGGAGGCAACAGACATGGATGGAGATGGGCTGATACAATGCCTCACACATCCTCGGGCCTGTCTGGATGCCAGGTGAGGGCGTGGAATGCAAGGATCAGAACTGGCTGGGGTGCGGGGCTGGCTCAGGCCTCAGTCCAAGTGCCTCCCAATGGTACCCTGCTATGCTTTGAATGTGTCCCCCGAAGTCTGTGTGCTGGACTGTCAAGAGGTGTGGTCTTGAAGAGATGATAGGTCCCCATAAAGGACTCATGCGGGAGTGACCCCCTTATAAAGGATGCCTTGGGCCCCTTCCCTCTCTTGCATAGGGTCTCACCATGTCATACCCTCCACCGTGCTATGTATGGTGCAGCAAGAAGCCTGTACCAAATGCAGCACCTCCATCTTGGACTTCCCAGCCTCCAGAACCATGAGCCAAATAATCTTCTATTGTAAATTACCCAGTTTGTGCCAATCTAGGACAGCAGCAAAATGGACCTGGACCCCCTTTCCCCCTGTCCCCCAAGTGGTAGGCAGGTCCTAGAACAAACTTGGAGAGATCTTGAACCTGATAGAAGATTCCTGAAGCCATCTGGGGCCTTGAGTGTGCGTGACTCTCTGCTGAGCTGTCTCCTGACAAACCACATCCTCTACCTGCTCCAGGATGCCTCTCTCCCCTTCCACAGCCTCACTGGGGTACACTGGCACCCCACCCTCCTCCATGGGGCCAGGAAAACTCAGGTTGCCAGAGAGCCATCTGGGTGATGCAGACTAATTCAGAGACCAGAAAAGCCTATCAACACGAAGCCCAGGGTGGGCACTAGGGGGCGCTCTAGCTGTGTGACACAGCTGGATGGGCTGCTTTCGTTGTCCCCCACTACCCGCTGAGCGAGAGTTGTCCTTTCTCTTTTTCCCCAGTCCCAAACCCTCCTCTGGACCTAATGACACCAGGCATCAGAGGCTGTGCTGAAACACAGGTTGGGGGCCTGGGTGGAGAATGGGAGACGTTGAGTCTGGGACCCCGTGGGAAGTGAAGAAGGCAGGGGACCTGGGAGGTGGGGTTCTCTGGGGTGCAAGATTCTATGGGGTTCCCTGAATTTGAGCAGGCTGAGCCCCCACCCAGGGAGGAGCCCAGTGAGATGGAGCCTCGGCGGCCTGCCCTTGCCTTTGCTCCTGGATGCACAGCACTGAAGCCGCAGTTCACAAGTGCCAACTCGGCCCTCAGAGGACAGCTCTGGGGCGCTGTCCTCCTGCTCCACGCCTGTCTTCAGATCCCCAGCAGGTGGAGCTCCACCTGTCCTCCCAGGACCATACATCCTTCACTCCCTTTGCAGACTCACCTCCCTGTTCCCCACCAGGGTCCTGGGGTCACCTCCAAATACACAGAGGCTAGTCCTTGTCCCAGGGTCTGTTTCTGGGATGACCCCAGACACGAGGCCACTCCCACTTTCCCTGCCCTTGTGCTCCACAGCCTTCGTGTCCCACGAAAAGCGCGTATCCTTCCTGAATTCCAGGAGCTGCTTGGGCTGCCTAAGGGCGAGACCTTGACAGGCTCTGTACCAACAGCCCCTTCCACAGCTAGACCCTGGATTATGGGGCCAATCGAAGCTTTACTGAGCCTGGATCCTGGCTCTGCTATTCTGCATGCGTGGGAAGCAGTCTTTCTGGAGTTTTCTGAGGCAGGATTGGGCCCACAGTTCTTGTCCACCCCACACAGGGAAAATGTAAAGTCGTGGTGGTCAGCTGTATCTCTAGAAGATCCACAGGGTTCCCAGCTGTCCTCCATCACAGCCATCCTGGGGCTGGTATGATAACGGGAGCCTCAACTACAGAGATGCAGGTGGACTTGTCTGGGGTGAGTCCTCCAGGGACATCTGTGAGTCTGTTCCTTCTGAGGAGAAGCTGTCCCCCATGGGGTGGGGGACCTGGCTCTGTGTGGGGGGCTCCTGCTGGGAGAAGAGGGTGATGAGAAGAGGGTCGGGAGCAGGCTTGGTGGGCTCATGGATGCCTTGGCCTTTATCAGCCTCCTCTGTGTGACCAGCCTCCTCAGGCAGAGGGCTCTGTCCCCCTCTGGTGACTGGAGGAGGCCAGCAGGATTTTGGCAAAGGCTCCACACCCAGTGAGTCCTGCAGGGGCAGTTCCCACTTCCCCTTGGGACTGACTTCCCCAGTCAGACCCCGGCCCTTGGCCGCTGGCCCTGTTAACTCTGGGTTTGCCCAGTGGGCTGCAGGAGCCGCTGGGCACGGGCAGTGGGCCAGCGCTTTCCTCAAGAGGCTATGGATCTCCTCGTGTTGTACCCGGGCCTCCTCCCACAGGTCCTGGCCCAGGCCGGTCCGGCTCAGGGAGGCCACCTGCAGCCTCATGGCCGTGAGCTTTTCGGCAGGGAACTCGGTCTCCAGGCGCCGCAGGTAGCGGTGGAGGCGGCACTGATCCCCAGGGCTGGCCTTCTGGGCCTTGCCCAGCCTGAGCTGGGCCATCAGATCCTGACAGTCCAAGTGGAACCAGGTCATCTGGGGATGAGAAGAGGGAGGTGGGGGGCTCAGTGAGATCAGCAATGGGGGTTCCACGGTAGGTACAGTGAAGCTGAATCAGTAAGTGCGCAGAGATGTTAGAGCCCTCAGGTTGGTGGCAATTTTGTCCACTGACCTCTACACACCTGTCACCTGGAAACGGTTTCAGCACCTTTGGCTATATTCTAACAGAACTATGAACCAGCAGGACTGGTTCCCTTCTGTAAAATGGAAATGGTATCAGACAATGACGAAAAGCCTGTAAGAGCTGAGAGTGTGACTCCCAAGATGGGAGGGATCCACCTAATGTGTACTGACTGCTGGCTGTCTGCCTGGCTCCATGGGTCACCTGTGTGACCACACTGAACTGGACTAGAAGCCCATTTCCCAGGGGGAGAAAACTGAGGCTCAGAGTAGTGACTTCGATTGCCCAGAGTCACACAGCAGGTCAGGGAAGGACTGAGATTCCAATTCAGCTCCATCTTGCCTCCAAAAGTTCTGCTCCTGGTGCAAAAGGAGAAATTGGCCTGGTCAGGGGTCGACGGCCAGCTCAGCCAGGCCCTGGGCCCTCACTCCAGCTGGGTCTCTGCCTCCTGTGTGATTCTGTCTGTCCCCAATTCCTCTCCCCCCAAATATCTACAGCCTGCAGAGGCACCAATGCAACCCAGTAGCTCATGAAAACCGGAATCTCTGTCTCCATTAATTTAGGGCCCAACAGCGAGGTGCAGGGTCATGGGAGCACAGAAGCGTTTTCTCGGAGGATGGCATCTTCGCGGGGATTAAGGGAACCTGTCTTTAGATAAAGGGTTTCATATCCGTGGCAGCTCTTGGAGCTCATGGCTGCATAAGTCTCCCTTAGCGACAAAACTGTGTGTGGCCAAGCTGCCACACACATGCACCTCACCCAGGGCCTACCCCAGCATGGGGATGTCCTGGACGTGGCCTCCTGGCCAAGCTGGACAGACATCAATGATGGCTCAGAAGTCACTTGCTCAACCCCTTGCAGCTGACAGGAGCAGCACCTAGCCCAGATCCAAGAGGTGGCCGAGGAGGGGCAGAGTCAGGCAGGCCACCTCCCCACGGTGTGATTTCCAACATGGGACAGATGCCAACCCTCTTGGGCCACCAGCTTGCCTCCTTTCTCGCACTAGCCAGCCCTCCACTAGGGTTTATGCTACGCTCTGCGTGCTGGCCAGCTTGGACTGGGTCCTCAGCTCAGGGAGGTGACACACACACACAGATAAGTGACAAAGCAGCAGGATCATTTCAGATTTCAACAAAGCAGGCGATAAGAGAGAATGGGGCTGGGTGGTGGGTGGTCAGGATGGGCCTCGACAAGAAGGACGATGTGTGAGCTGAGAGGAAGAAGGACAAGAAACCAGCTGCCCAAGGAAAAGCTTCCAGGTGGTGGGAACAGTGTGTGCAAAGGCCTTGGAGCTGGAGCGAGTTTGGCTGAAATGGACAGAAATGAGTGAGCAAGGAGAAACTTCCAGATGCCTCCGCCTCTTCCTCCTAATGATACTAAAAATAACGCCAATAATGAGTGTAAATTTGAGCAGCCCTGTGGGTCATTTACGCTTAATCTAACTCTCTTGCCACCTGGCAGGGTGGGCGCTCCAGCCAGATGGTCTGGGTTTGAATGTCAGTTCTGCCATTCTGCCAGCTGTGTGACACTACACGAATTGTTCAACCTTTCTAGCTCCTCGTGTGTCAAATGGACAAAGTAGGAGTAGAGGGTTTGTGTGACAATGAAATAAGATGTGAAATGACAGCACAGAGCCTGATGTAGAAGAACTACACAGTCATCAAGTGTTATTGTTATCATCGGGGGCTGAGGCTCAGAGAGGTGGAGACTATGGTTGAGGTCACACAGCTCGTGCGGGTGTATGTGACCCTGACTCTGAGTCCCAGACTCTGTCTCTCTTGTGCTCTCCAGCCACTGAACAGCTCGGGGGAGGGAGTCCCTTATTGTCACTGCCAACATCTGCCTGCCTTGCCGCTGCTCTAAGGAGACAAAGAGGACCCTGTCCTCTCAGGCCCCCAAGGCATGCGTGAGTGCCCTCCTGCTGTCCCCCAAAGCACCCTGTGTTCGCCACCCCTGCATGCTGGGCTGTCTTGACAGCTGGATGGAGGGGGTCAGGCTCTTTCCATGCTCTGTCCCTAGTGGCAAGTTCAAGGGGCAGCCAAGGGTAATGGCCAGCAGCCACCCTTGTGGCCTCCTGTCCCAACTGGGTCCCAGCTCTCCTGGGCTGCTCCCTTGCTGCCCACAGGCCTCAGTCTCCCCATCAGAAAAATGAGGAGTTTGGCATCAGGGATTTTGGAAGGGTGGAGGCTCAATCATGGACGCTCTGGGTGACCTTGGTTTTCTCATCTGGAAAGCGGGAGCAATGTCAGGGCCCCTCCTTTACAGGGGTGGTGAGGATCAAGTCAGGTGAGAGTGTGAGGTGTGCACTCCTGTGTGCTACCCTCATGCTATCCTAACCACCTTCGCCCTGCCCTTGACAAGAGTCTGTTGCCACTTCCTCCTCACTTTGGGGAAAGACACAGACGTGACAGCTCAGGGACAGGGAGTCTGTTCTGTCCTCATCCCAGCTCTCTTCCACTCGTGGGAGTGGGATGAGTTAGGCAAATTGCCTAGCGCTGTGTCCCCACCACACCCAGCAGGGGGATGGAGAGGGGGTCCGTGCGCCTGGACCACAGGGCTCACCTTCTTGCAGAAGCGGTGCAGGTGGAGCAGGGTCTCCAGGTCTGTGCGCTGCCGCTCCGCCGCCATGTAGAAGTGGGTCAGCTTCGCCTGGAAGGCCCGCTGTGTGGACGCGAAGGCCACAAGCTCTGGGCACACGGGCCCTCCAGCCTCGCCCCCACCTCCAGCTGCAGCTCCCAGCTGGGCCGCCTGCTTGGACAGGTCCAGGCCCTTGCGGTACTGGGCCTGAGTGGGGAGAGGAGAATGTGCTCTCAGCTCTGCTTGGGCCTCCCCAGAGGCCAGGAGCCTCTACTACCTGCTGAGCTGAGAGGCTTCTGAGCCTCAGTTTCCTCATTTGTCAAGTGAGGTCTAACAGCGCTGCTCCCCCACAGGACTTGATCCATAGACAGCAGTGGCAATTGTGCTCCGACAGTCCCCAGGCCTTTGCCTTGGCAGTTCACCCCAAAGTCGGGGTCAGAGGCTTCTCCTCTGTGCCCTCACGGTCCTCTCATCAGTGTCCCCGTTTGTGCCCACTCTCATCCTCCACTGCCCTGGGAACTCCCTGGGGGCTGTGACAGACAGAAACTCCCTGTGCCCACTATGGTTGCAACGTCCCAGCCCCTGAATTCTGAGGCAAGGCCCTGGAATCTGCATTTGAAGTACCCCACCCTGGGCTGGATTCTGAGTACTCTTTGGACTTGGTAGTCTGGGAGGGCTTCCTGAAGGAGGTAACATCTAAGTTGAACCCTTTGGAACCCAGCCTGTCTCCTCCCTGCTTCCAGAAGTTCTCCTGCACTTTCCCACCTCACAGGGCCACCCCTCCCACCTGCTCCTCTGGGCACACACCGCAGCCTGCAGAAAGAAGTCCTCGAACTCTTTGTGGGCTCTCTGCACGGTCTCTGTGCAGCTGATCTTGGGGGTGAGCGCCTGCAGACATTGGCTTCCTTCCCGCTCCATCCAGCTACTGACCTGGGGAGGCATGGAAGTTTGCACGTGAGCAGCTGCTAGGGGGACACCCTTGGCCAACCCCCCTGCCCACCCCAACTTCCTGGGAGGTCAAGGTCTTCTTGTCCTCCATCACTCAGGGGCTGGACTGACACCCTTCAGTGCTAGGTGGGGGTCTTGGGGAGGAAAGTGGGGACTCGTGTTCTGCAAGACACCGGAAGGGGAAAGGTTGCCCTCGGCAGGACCCAGAGGGGTGGCCTGGCCAGTACCCTGCAGGTTGCAGGCCCTCAGTGTGCATGGTGTGGTAATGAAGCCATAAGTTGGCAAAGGGGCCGCAAGGTGACGAGCCTTGGCTCAATATGATCACTCACTGTCACTGGGTCACAAAGGTATGGCAGAGGAAGGTGCACAGGCCAGTTAAAAACATGCCTTGTAAACCCAGCCAGTCGTGGCCTCTTTCTGGTCTCAGTTTGTCGGTGGTAAAATGGGTACACGTGAAATTTCCAGTGAGCAACAGAGGGTACAAATGGCTCTTGACTCCTTGAGTGGAAGTTCCCTTCTTGGTCTGGCAAGGGTTGTGTATTTGTTTGTTTGTTTTGGTTTTTGAGACAGGGTCTTGCTATGTAGTCCAGGCTGGCCTTGAACTAGTGATCCCCCTGCCTCAGCCTCCTGAGTGCTAGGGTATTACAGGCGTGTACCACCATGCCCAGCTTTGGTGTCTTAAAGAGCAACACTAACACGTTTTGCCCAGGGGAGCAGGCACTAATAGTTCCAATTGAGAAATGAGGGCACAGAAGCCTGAACAGTCAGGTAACTGGCAGGTGCCGAGCCTCCATGGCCCGTGCCTCAGCCCTGGCAGGAAGGGATGCGTGGGTTCTAGACTCCGGCAGCCAGGTGAAGTGGTGCCAGGATGCAGTCCAGGTCAGCCTCCAGAGCGCAACCACCAGCAGGGACAGTCACCTCCCAGTCTCAGTGTCCTGTCTGTGTGGTGGGGCCATCTCACAGCTTCGCAAATTACTGGTGAGTCATGAGGCTGGAAAGCCAGGATGCACATGGAGGCCCTGGCCCAGGGCTGTACATAGCTGGAGCTCACTAAGTGCAGTCTTTACTCATTGAGCACTTAGTGAGCACCATGGCATGTGGATGCCTGCCTGGTCTTCACAGAATCAGATACCCAAACTGGGCTGGCCTAGGGGCCGTCCTTCCTGTGGACGCAGCCAGGTGAACCCCACACCCCTTGGGCAGCTTGCCCTTTACCTGGTGGATGGCGGCTTCCAGGTGGCCCAGGCGCACTCGAAGCTCCAGCCTCCCCAGGAGGTGGTTGGACGCAGTGACCAGGACGTGAAGCTGCTCGTCCACCAGGCTGTACAGGGTGGCGGCTTCATCCAGATGGCTCCTGGGAGGAGGAGCGGGATAAGAAAAGCCCTCAATGCTCTTCCCTCCCCTCCTCCCACCGTCCTCTTGCCCAGGACTGCCTGCCTCCCAGTCTGTGGCGCCAGCTGGGTTTCCAGCTACTGATTTGCTGTGTGACCTTGCCAGGACCCTATACCTCTCTGGGCCTGCCAAATCTCAGCCCTGTCACCTTCCAGGGTGGGATCTTGAGTGATGTCTGCACCACACCGTGTCTCTGTTTCTCATCTGTACTTAGGGATGATAACAGAATCTCACTGCACAGCAGTTGTGAGGAGTTGGTGGGCTAATCTGGGAAACTTTAGAAATTCCAGGCCCACTGAGTCAGGCTGTGGGTGAGGTCAGACCCGGGAGCTTTCCAGAGCTCCTTGGGAGTTCCAGGCTGGCAAGGCAAGAGCTGCCCTCATCTCCGAGAGCACTTCTCACAGAGTCCAGATCAGGACACCTGCTGGCACTTCTGACACCTGATTTCCATCGCAACAAGGCTCAGCTGCAACACCCCCACCCTGTGCCCACTGAGGTGGGAAACTGAGGTCCAGAGAGAGCAGCAACTTTCCCTCATGGCCATCTGAATGGAGCCTGGGTCACAGTGGCCTTTGCATGGAATTTTTTAAATGGCCAAAGCCAGAAAGCCAGGAGACCTGGGACTTCAGTCCTGACAATGCATGGGTGATGGGAGGAATGTGAACCCATCATTCTCCCTGCCCTAGGTGGAATGACTTTTATCAGGAAAGACAAGATGGAAGGAAAGGCTGCTTCCCAAGGGACCCCACTCTGCTTGGGCCTCCTTGTGGGTGGCCGCCCTTCCAGGGCAGATGTGAGGACCCAGGGCTCGTGAATAGGACATAAAATGCCAAGCCTGGGGCTGCTGAGGGAGGGAGGGGTGGACAGGCCCAGGCTGCAGGGTCCAGTGCAGAAGGATGCAGGAAGCCGCGTGCGCGGGCCCACAGCGCCCCCTGGTGGAGCTGCCGATGCAGGGTCTGGAGGGACCTAGGGGGACAGGAGAGGCTGGGACGGGTAGGTGAGACAGGGGCTTGGAAACAGCCCCACCTGGCATTGTGAGGGGCAGGGATGTGACCTACACTTGGTGGGGACCCCTGCTGCCAGCATTCCCATCTGTGCGTGAACCTGCCTCCAATCTAGGGGTGCAGCTCAGGGATGTTTTCAAGATTCTGAGCCCAGGCTGCCTGGATTCAAGTCCTGGCCACCAAGTCCCAGCCGTGTGGCCCGGGCAAGGCACTAAGCTCTCTCTCAGCCTCAGGTTCCTCCATTGTGACAAAAGGACAATACTGGGACCCACTCCAGAAGCAGGAATTTTTGTAATTCCTTAGAACATCACAGCACACACAAAGTGCTGTGTTGGTGTTGGTTCAACAAACTCTTTTTAAAAGCTTATGCAAAGTTTCTGTGTTCTAACAGAGAAAATATTTCCAGTTGCTGACAGTTCAATTACAGGTCGAGTATCCTTGTCTTGGGTTCAAAGTGCTTCAGATTTCAGATGCTTTTTTCCTGGATCTGGGAACAGTTGTTTTTACTTAATGAGACACTTTGGGACTGGTTTCCACATCTAAACATGACGCTCACTTGTTTCACATGAACCTTTTATGCATAGCCCGAAGGTCATTTTAGGCAATCATTTTGAGAATTGTGTGCATGAAGCAAAGTTTCTGGTGTGGAATTTTCCACTTGGGCTCGTGTGTCCCACAGTTTGGAGTATTTTGGATTCTTGTCTTCAGATTAGGGGTCTCCACCTGTGTTGCACTGACTCCCCCTAAACTTAAGAAAGTGGTGTCTGCCAGGCCAGTCTAGCTCCAAGACATGCTGTGAGGTTCTCCCGCCAGGTCCAGCAGCCAGCTGCAGAAGGCAGGGCTGTGTAAGGGTTAGACACCCAGATGTCCTGGCTTCAGGTCCCCAGCCGGATATTGCTAGCTGTTATTTCATGTCACTGACCCTTCACCACCACAGCCAAATAAGGGTGATGTGGACCTCCCAGGGCTCTTGCCAGGAACAAATAAGACTGGCCTGAAGTGCTCAGCCCAGCATCTGGGTGAGAAAAGGGCTTGGTCCATGGGGGTGAGCAGAGACAGGGAGGGGACACCTCTGAATGCTCATCCCCACTGAAGATAGTCGAGGATGAAGGAGGGACAGCAGAGAAGAGACGAGGGACTTGCCAAGGCCCCAGAACAGGGACCTGTGTCCGGGCCGCCCCCACCCCACCAAGGACACAGGCCATGGAAATGCCCAATTCTGGGTTTTCATGTGCCCACCCTATGTCTTCCTTGGCCAGGTGGCCCCAATCCTAAGCTCCCAGGCTGGCGGACAGGTGTAGGAGGGAAGGCCTGTGTGCCTGTACCTGACATCAGGGTTGGAGTCCAGCCTGCTGGCCTTGCACTGCAGCCTGGCCAGGATGGCTCCACCTTCCCGCTGGAGGCCCAGGAGGCCCGGGTCCCTCAGCACAGCCTCCATCAGCTCCTTGGACTTGCTCAAGCACCTGGCGGCCTCCTGCCAACATAGGGAGGTGCTCTTAGGCCCAATTCCCACTCTCCCTCTACAACCTTCCAGGGTTCCCCACACCCAACATCCCCAGTTTCAAGTTCCTCCAAAAAGTCTGTCCTTTTATCTCCAAGGCAGGTCCTCAAGCCACGCCCTCCATCACCATGGCAACCTCATTGATCCTGGCTCCATCAGCTCTCTGGACACTCATCCCAGCCTCTTCCCTGATCTCCCTGCTGCCCTCTGGGTTCCCCCTACAGTCTGTCCTCCACATGGCAGCTGAAAGGAAGGCAAAGACTTCCCTGCCTCTTAACATCTATCGCATTCCAGCTCCAGCCATGTTGGATCTGGAGGCTCCTCCAGGTCTGGAGGGAAGTGCTTTGCTTCCCTCCCACTTACTCTGTTCCACATTGACCTTCATGCTCCTCCTGCCCATCACAAGCATGGCCGGCCTCAGGGCCTTTGCACATGCTTGCCCTCTGCCTGGAGCTCAGTCCCCCTTAAAGGCAGACCCCTTCTTGAACTTCTGGCCTCAACTTAAATGTCATCTCTTCAGACAGGCCCTCCCTCCTTTGCCATCATTCTCAATCTTACTGTCATGACATTTGGCACAACTTATAAATTACCTTTTCATTTGCCTCTTGCCTTCCTGCCTTCCTTCTCTCCCCCTCTCTCTTTTTCTTTCTTCCCCCTCCCTCCCTCCCTCCTTCCTTTCTCCCTCTTTTTCTCTTTTCCCTCCCTCCTTCCTTTCTCCCTCTTTCTTTTTTTCTTTTCCCTCCCTCCTTCCTTTCTTCCTTTTCTTTGGAGACAGGATCCCACTGTATAGTGTGGGCTGACCTTAAACTCAGTATGTAGCCCAGGCTGGCTTTGAAGGCTCCATCCTCTTGCATTTACCACCCATGTGCTGGGACTAAAGAAATGCACTGCCTCACCTGGCTCTACCTTTGTATTTTTTTTATTACTTTTTTTTTTTTCAGTGCTGGGGATGGAACCCAGGGCCTTGTACAAACTAGGCAAGCACCATGCCACTGAGCCACACCCCCAGCCCTCTCTTCCCTTTTTAATGACTGCTCTTCCACTCCTGAAGCAAGTGGTATCCCCCATCGCCTTCATGGAGCCCATCTGTGGAGCCTGGGGTGTGGTGCAGCTTTCCTGTCCCCTAGGCTCTGGGCTCACCTGCATCCCTCCGGGGGGCTCGCCTTTCTCCAGCTCCTTGATGGAAGCCTGAAGCAGGGAGGAGGCCTGGCGAAGGTCAGCCAGGAATGGGTCCAGCTTCTGCAGAGGCCAGAGCAGAGTGTCAGCCTGGGCTGGGGAGGTCACGCCCCCCGCCCCAGGAGGAGGCCTCTGAGTTTCTGGCTCAGTTCCTCTGGGGTGGGTGTGAGAATGAACATTTCTAGAAGACTGCAGCAGATGCTGATATTGGTCTGGGGTCCACACTCTCAGAACCACAGGTGTTGGGAATGTGAGCCAGAGGAGAAAGAAGACAGGACAGAGCTGCTCCCCGACAGGTGGGGAATCCTCGTGGGGAGGGGTGGGAAGGGAGGTGAGAAGGCATGCATGGCTTGGTTCCACTTTTGCCTGGCTCTGTCACCTGCTATCTGTGAGACCTTAGGTAAGTTACTTAACCTCTCTGGGCCTTTGTTTCTTCCTCTGTGAAATGGGGATCACAGCAGTTCCTGCCTTATGGGGGGTGTGAGTATTTGATGGATGACTTTGTACAAGGTCCTTAGAATACAGCTCAGCACATGGGGGAGTCACCATCAATGTTAGCTTCATATTTAGGGTCTTGGAAAGATGTCACAAAAAGGAAAGAGCTGAAAGCCAAAGTGAAGTGTGAATGCTCCTGGATTAACTGGAGGCCTCTGGAGAAGGGAACAGGGAGCTGGGGATAAGCAGGGAAGGACCATTTAAATTTGAATGTAGTGTGGGTTGAATCTGTGGCCACCTGCATGGCCTGTTCAAAACCAAACATAGCCTAAAAAAGATCGCCTATGCAAAAAGCAAATGAGCCATCACCATGTTAAACTATGAACACAGACCAGCGGTTCCCCAATGGGGGTGGCTGTGCTCCGCGGGGACATTCACCAATGTCTGCCAACATTTTGGGCTGTCACAGTTTGTGGGAGGCAGGGATAGGGCCTGAGCAAGTCCAGCAAGAGCAAGTCCCCCACCTGTCTGCAGCAGCCAGGGCTGAGTAGCCCCTGGTTAGAGGGAGCTGGGCAGGCAGCACGGGCTCTGGCTTCAGCACCTAAGCTGAAGATGTCTGCCATGGTGCGAGTCACCCCCACCCTGTGTGGCATCTTGGGTTAAACTGGGTATGAAATATCCATTGCAGAGCTGCAGTGGGGAGGATAGCAGCCACGCAGGAGGAGCCCAGTGCCAGCAACTTCCCTACTTCCTCCCTCTGCCAGAAGGAGCACATCTGCCTCCCGCACTAGACCCCAAACTCCCCGAACTGTGGAGTCCACAGAGGACAGGCCTGTAAGTTTATGTTCAGTTAACACAGACATAGCTGTTAGCACTTGCCAGACACGCGTCTAAGCTCTTTTCATACCTTAATTCTTACAAAAATCCATGATTAGGCACTATTATTACCTCCCCATTTTGCTGAGGAGGAAACCAAGGCTCAGATAAGGTAAGTAACTTAGCCAAGATCACACAGCACAGAGAACTGAGCTCTTATTCATCCTACTCTGCACCTTCATTGTATATGTTTGTTGAATGACTGACTGTTTTTGAACCTGAAAGGCTGACAGATCCATAGAGCAGGAGAGTAAAGGGAAGAAGAGGAGTGAGGGTCAGGGGTAAAGTCTGTGAGGGCAGACACCTGGAAGAATTGCACCCACTCGCTGTGGCAGTAGGGGAAGGGGCCTTCCAGGGCTTCGGGGAGCTGGCTGGGGTCCACATGGTGGCTGAGGGCCTTCAATGAGGTCAGAACCTCCACCTGCAGATGAAAGTGGTGAGTCAGAACGACCAGAGGACTTGGGGTGGGGACAGATATTTGAGAAGGTCCTATCATGGCCCCTGCCACGGCATCAGTGTGTCTCCCATGAGGAAGGTTCACAGGGGCTTTCTGGGCATCCAGTCTTCTCTGGAAGCTCCAAGAAATCAAGGTGGAATGGCACACACAGCTCTCCTACCACCACTCCTAGCCTGTGCCCAGGCAGGCATCATTAGTCAATCCCAAAACCTGTTCTCTTGGAGCCTGGCGCCTTCCCAAAATTGCCTGTGCAATTGTTCGCCAGGAATTGCACAAAGTACCCAAAGCTGGCCCGGGAGGAAATGTCTCTGTAATCCTTGCACTCCTCTCCAGTGACCCACCAAGGTGCTGGCTCCTCCTTGGGGCTCACAGGGAGGTCACTGAATCCTAACAGTGTCTCTAAGACATGGAGAAGGGGCTAGGTGCCAGGTCGTGCCAGGAGTGAAGTTTCGGGTTTATGCTGGGATCCATCTGTTACCCGCTACTCCAAGTGTGACTCAGGGGTCTGAAGACCCAGCATACATCAGAAATACAGAACCCCAGTCCCCACCCAGTGCTCCTTAAGCGGAGAATGTACTTCCTTTAACACATCCCTAGATGCGCTCTACCCAGATTCCTGTGCCCGCAGCCCACTTGCTGCAGAGTAAGCTGACTCTCAGCTTTTTTTCTTTTGAGAGGGGTTTTGCTATGTAGCCGAGAGTAGCCTGAAACTCATGACCTTCCTGTCTCCATCCCGAGTGCCGGGATTACAGGTGTGTACCACCACACCTAGCTTGATCCTCCGCTTTGAGAGTTGCTTGCTGAGCAACTGACCTGGACACTCTAGACATGTTCAGGCTGAAAACCACGTATCTAGCTCACACTATGCCTCTCTACTAACCAGGAAGGAGACCTTTGAAGTCCTTCCTGGAGTGGGCAGAAGTCCTGGTGCCTGCATTCACTCTTGTGGGACATGACGCTAATTAAATGTGAATTCTGAATCAACCATGGCTGTATTAATTAGGAAGAGAAATGCAAGCAGAGGCCAGTCGCAGTGTGGATGAGGCACTGGGCTGGGAGTCTGACTTGCTGGGTGACCCTGTATCTCAGTTTCTCCATCTGAAAAAAATGGGGAAGGGCTGGCTAGTTGAAACTCTTGCAGCAAGGTCTCAATCATGTGGACACCACCAGGCGTTTCTGGGATTGCCAGAAAGAAATAATGGCTGACTTATTTGGCAGTGCCCTTGGGAGACAGGATTGTGAGGGGCAATGCCTGTATTTCTGATCCCATGCTAGATTGTTTCAAGGTCTCTTCTAGCTCGTGAATTCTGCAATTGTTCATCCCCTTCCCCCCTGCTCAGCTCAAGCCTGGAGACTCCCCCTCTCCACCACCTCCTCCATGCCTCCTCTCACCTGGATGGCAGGTAGCTCCTGCAGCTGGACAGCGGCCTCCTTCTTCCCCAGGAAGAGCAGCACTCGGAAGGCAGGGACCAGAGCCTGCCAAACAGAGCTGCATCAGGGCTGCCTCCTTCTTCCCCCCAGAGGCAGGCAGGTGGGTCCCAGGTACAGTATGGGTCGCCCACAGCTGGGGCTCAGGTGTGATGTTTGGAGAGTGAACCACTGCAAGTTGGGAGAGCAGCAGGTCCACCTGGATGGCCCACCCCCTGGGCCTCAGTTTCCCCATCTATAAGGTAAGGAGGTCAACCACGAGGTGAATACAGCTAAACCTCCATGGATCAGGATGCCCACATGGCTAGTTTGCAATCTCCATCACTCAGTTCACAAGGTTTGTGTGGCCAAGTCTAAGCCAATCAGAGTGCTCCATTTCCCTGCTCACAGGGATTGGTTGATGAATGGACATTTTAACCAATCAGGACTAAGGAGACACCAAGAAATTTTCACAGGGAACTTTGGGAAAATAATCTCTCACTTTTTCCTGCAGGATGGAAATGAGAGACTGTGTGAAGTTAAAGCTGCTGGAAGCCATACTGCCACCCAACAGGGAGTGGGGCTTTCAGAGAATGGCACCCCCCACACTCCAGGAAGACAGGGCTAGACATGGAGATAGAGAAAGGTCTGGTGACAATATCTGAGCTCTTGGATCAAGCCCTACCTGAAGCTGGCTTACTGCCTGGGCTGTCCTGCTATATGAACCAATGGACTCCCTTTGTCTTTAGGCCTGTTTGCACACAGTTTGCTCTTAATTGTCACTAAAAGTTTCTCCTGGGAGTCCTGGTTTCAACCCTGGGCCCACCAGGTTCCATGCATGTCCGAGTCCCCTGGTGACTCCCAAGACTTGCTGGACTAGGCTGTCAACCTCCCACTCACCTGCGTGGCTTGTAGAGCACTGAGCAGACCAGGCTGTGGGGGCTGTTTCCTGGCATCCATCACCACCACCAGCCCCTTGGCTTTATCTTCTGGCCTGTGGGCAGAAAACAGAATCTGCAGTCTTACTGGAGCCTAGGGCTCTCCAGGACCTAGTAGAAGACTCTAGTGGAAAGTGAGGGAAACTGGCTTCTAGAAGCCTTGACTTATGGTGAGTGTTTCACTCTGCCAAACCAAGTTCAATACTGCTTCCAGGAAGCCCTCCATTGCCTTCTCTTCAGTGCCTCTGCATCACCTCTCACAGCCCCAATAAGGGTGCATCACCCCTGTCACCCACGTTCACCCACCCCTTGGAATGAAAAGAAACCCTGGTTCTGTTTAAAAAAATCAACTCCCTCCAATTAAGCATGTCTGTCAGGGCTGCCTTCTGATTGGCAGAGGCTACCCTAGTGACCCAGGTCTCCTAGCCAATGACTAGACTGGGTGGGTGGGTCATGTGACATATTTCTGCCCAATGAGATGAGAAGGAAGTTTGCTGGGGGGACTCTGAGAAAGACATTCTCTCCTTTACAAAGTGCTTACAAGGAGCTGTAGAGGTAGACAAGACATCTCGAGTCGAGATTTCTGTTACTTGCAGCCAAAATGTCCCCACTGGTTCCACCCCAGTGAACCGAGCTGACAGTGCGCTACTTTTCAGTGGCTACCCTAAGATTTCCACAACTGTCCAACTCTCAGGACTGATTAAAATACTGACTCCTCGCCCCACTCCCACCCTGACCCCTGAGATATTTGGGTCTGGGTGCCTGCAAGTGCCCTTGGCCCATCTGACAGTGAAAATAACCCCAGCCGCCTTCAAGCCCTACAGTGACCATTCACAGACAAAGCCGGAGGTGGCTGCATGGTGCAGAGCGGTGCACTGCTGTTGGAATCTGGTGACCTGGACAAGTTGTTTTAAGTGAACGATAACGGTTCCCGCTGGTGGGGCTGAGGACTGATGAGTAGTCCATTAATATAAAACACCCAGTAGGGCACAGGGCAAGATGTAAGTGTTATTATTGTTACTGCACAGAAGGGGAAACTGAGGCACAGAGCAGCCAAATGGCAGCAAGGGGAGTTTACATTGTGTACTCCTTCATCCCTTGGTCCCCAGGTGAGCCTCAAAGAGGGGAGGCTATTACCCCAAGGTCACACAGCACATCAGTGGTTTCCAGGGCTCTGACTACCATGCTGGCCACTTCTTAGCACAGAAAAGTGGGCCCATGTGCCTCTCAAAAAAAGCCACTCCCCCTCGGACAAGAGGAAAAGTCAGGATTGGCAGGCCAGTGGGCAGACCTCATGAAGAAAGGGCCACAAGATCCCATCTGTCCCTCCACCTGCACCTCAGCTGTTGAACCTCTAGTTGGGTTGGGGTGTCAATAGCCACAGTCCTGAGCAACACCACCTCTAAGACTGTCCCTGGGGGGACTGGGACTCAGAGGAGACAAGCCCTCCTCCCCAGCGAGCCCGCTGTGAAGTCTGAGTGCAGGGGGCGGAGAGGGGAGGATGAGACTGTCTGCCTCCCCCAGCATCTGGCCTGGGCCAGGCTCTGTGAACGTGTACACACCTGGGTGGAAGGACCTGGTGCCTCCCCATGCAGAGCCTGTCCAGGCTCCATGCTGAGAGCGTTGAAGTATGGCCGAGTGGTCAGAGTGTCTGAGCCCTTACCTGGGGATGGTGCACAGGTAGAGAAGCAGCTGGGTGACCTCTGAGGCTGTGCACCATGGCGCCTCCCAGGCCCCTGCTGTGGTTGACACAAGGAGCAGGGGCCGCCCCACCCTGTCCCGACCACCTGCAAGAGAGAGGACACACGTGAGCAATGGGACTCTGGAGGGGACCTCCACAGGAAGCGCCTCTGTGGTCTCCAGGCTTTGTCCATCCTGGTCCCTCTCCTGGGAACTCAGAACTCCTTATCCTTCCTTCAAAGACCCAGCTTAAAAGCCACTTCCTAAGAAAAGTCTCCCCAAATTTCTTCTGCAGAGGCAGCCTACTCTCCTCAGACTCTCTTTGTATAGGGCACCCCGGGAGGCAAAGCTCGTGAAATGAACTCTGGGGTCACACAGATGGGGTCATGGCCTGACTGCAGATTTGCTGTGTGTCTTTGGGCAAATCTGTGCATCTCTGGGCCTCAGTTTTGCCCATTAGATGAGACAAATAAACCACTGAGCCAGGTGGCTATGATTAAGCAAGTCAGCTCTGCAGAGTACACACTATGGACTGTTGACTGTCATGAATGAATGTCACTGCTTCTCATCTCACACAGCCCACAGCCAGCAAGTGGGCAGCCCCTTGGTCACCAGCTGTTTCTTCTTGCAGACTTTCAGCTTTGTGTTCTCAACAGGTCATTTCCTGCTCCAGGGATCTGGCTGGGGTACCCCACTGTCCCCACAGGGGTCGCAGCCCAGGGACTGAGCACAGCCTCCAGCTGTGTTCTGGTGACCCTAGCTAATGGATGCACTGGGTTTCCTCTTGTCACCTGTGGCATAGCCAAAGTGGCTCCTCTGTCATAGCCTAAATGTGCCTGACCCTTTCCTACCTCCTCCACCTGCTAAGTATGCCCTTCCTTCCTGTCTCCACCTGGTGAAGCCCACTCATTTCCCCATACCCAGCCAGGGCACCACCTCCTCCAGAAGACACCATTACTTACTTCCTGCCCTTCTTTAGAAGCCTGACTCCCACCCAGGTTCCCACAGATCCTTTAAGACTGAGAGTCCTGCCAGAGATCCACTGGATGGGACACTCTGCTACCTCCCTGTGTACACAAAAGACAGGACCTTTTGTGTGTCCTGTGACGGGAGGGCATGAGGGACACTTGTCTTCCCAACCCCAGGTGCCTGGGATGTTGCTGGGAGGCAGACTGACTCGGTGGGCCTGATTCTGCATCTCCCTAGCTCCAAGGTGATGTTGGTGACCTTGACCTTGGGCCCCCACACTTGGAGAAGCAAAGGGTTCACGGTCTCAGGACATTCTGGTCTGGGATGCAGCCATCGCACCACTGGCTCCTAGGCCCAGTTCCCCACTGAAGGCTGCCTGCAACCGGGCTCTGCGCTCGGCCAGTGCTGGCCAGGTGAACAGAGCAACAAGCAGCTAGTGGTCTGTCTGTCCAGTTTGCTTTTGGCCGGGCCAAGGAGACCCCTTAGCCCCAGTGTTGCCCTTGCCTGACAGCAGTGGCAGAGATACCACCATTAGCACCCAGACCCTGGCTTGAAGCTGCAGTGAAGCCACAATGACCAGAGGAACGGAAGAGCAGGCTGGGAGTGGGGCAGAGGTTTCCTGCAGTCACAGAAAAACTTGTCACACCTTCTAGCAGTTTGGGGGAGAAATGGTAATAGGCAAGCAGCTTACAACATTTTTTTACATTGAAAAAAGTATAAATGTATTCTTAAGTAGTATACAAAATGTACAGGAATGTGAATGGCAGAAAAGACTCGCAAAGTAAACATGGAGCAACTGAAAGCTTAGAGTGAGGTCTACCCCAGGGCCCTGGTCACCCTCTTCTGCATTAGGGGTTTTTCAGGGAAGTTGCTGGTGACCTTTTTGACATTTGTCTCAATGTCTGGCTAGGAAAGGATTCTGATTAGAGTCAGCTGAAGAGAGAAGAGGGTGGGAGACAGGGAGCCCAGACCACTTGTTCGTGGGTTTGATGTAGAAGAAAGACACGAGGGGCGTAGAGGCCGGAGTGGACCACCACAGGCTGGGGAGGACCACGATGTATTCTCATGATGGAGAAGAGGAAAGGTGACCTGGAGGGATGACAGACCTGTTGGAAGGATGGCTTCGAGAATGGAGAGAGGAACGGTGCATGAGTGGGTAGCCTTAGCTAAGGAGCTCAGATGGATCCCTGCAGTAGACTGCTGGGTATGTGAGGACAGAGGCCAGTGGGTTGGAAATATGGGATAGGAGTTTGTAGGCATCCCACCGAGACTTTTCCCGCTCACTGAGACCAGACGGTAAAGTTGGGGTGGTGCTAAAGGACAGAGAAGGGAGCACGCGTGAGCCACTGGCTTTATGTTTGTTTTTTGGTACTATGGATTGAACCTAGGCTGCTAGGTAAGTGCTCCACCCCTAGAGCCACGCCCCCAGCCCTTTCAATTTTCATTTTGATTTTGAGACAGGGTTTGACTAATTTTGCCTCCAACCCTCAATGTTCCTGCTTCCAACCCCGAGTAGCTGGAATTATAGACGTGTGTCGCCATGCCCAGTGTGAAGTCATCAGTGGGGACAGTGAAGGGTCACCCAAGACTCTGGGGGAAAGGATAGTCCATGGGCACCACAAGGCCTTCCTGGAGGCCAGTGGCCGGGAATGGAACTGGCCCACTCTGCATGGCTGTGTGGATTTCAGCTCTGTTCAGCTCCTGGGACGTCACTGAGGCTGGTCAGGGTCTCTCCAGGCTAGCAGGAAGGTAGGGGAGAGCTGGGAGCAGGCAAGGAAGTGAGTGTGATGACGAGCAGAGGATGAAGCTCGGGTGTGATGACCATGGGTTGGGCCAGCAGATCCAGGTTCCGCTGGGGAAAGGTTTGAAGATGATTAAAACTGGGACATTGGGTGAGCGGGAAAGAGAGGCCGTGGCAATGAAGGAGAGGGAGTCTCGAAACTGAAACGAGGGAGGGGCAGTTAGCCGTGGGAAACATGGACAAGGTCACTGGTGAAGAGGAGGTCCAAGGTGGTCCACGACAGGCACAGAGGGAGTTTCCATGGCTAATTTCCCTCATGCATCCTGGACACATGCTATGTGCCACTTGGGACCCCCAAGTGCACAGTGACAGTAACGTCCTATCTGCTTGCTCTTCCCCTCTTACGCAGGGGTAGTCTGAGACTCAGAGGGGCAAGCTACTTCTCCATGGTCACACAGGCAGCAGGCAAGAGAGGAAACTGAAATGAAGTTCTTCGTCCTCTGGACAAAAGAGCCCTTGGAGCATGGCCCCTGGAACATGACCGCGTAAGGCAGTCGTGAGACCTTTTCATACAATGAATGTGGGAACAAACAACAAAAGCTCCAACACAGATGACCAGGAAAAGGACAGACAAGGCTCTCTAGAAACTGCAAAGAGACAGGGAAGTGCCCAGGGTCCTGTGGAGATGTGGACGTTGATGAACAGAATCACAGGACAGCCAGTTCCCAAAGGGCTCTGTGTCCCCAGACTTTGCACATGCTGTTCCCTCTGTCTGGAACACTGTTACAATGCTCACCTGGTTAACTCCAACTCACACTATAGGGCTGTGCTTTTCATTGCTTCCTCCAGGAAGCCTTCCCTGATCTCTTGCCACAGGAAGCCTGGGCCAGGGTCTCCAACTGTGTTCCCACAGCCCTTGTCACTTCCCTGCTGCCACAATTTTCTTTATATTGAGTTACAATAACCTGTTGGATTTCTCCACCACTAGAATACAGGTTTTCTGTCAGAGAAAGCACATTAGACGAGTTCCCTAATAAGCCCCCAGTGCTAGTCCTGGGGCTCAGTGAGTAGTTACTGAATAAATATTAAACAGGAGTGATAAATATAAATAAAATAAATATAAACAGTACTGGATGCTATCAGAGCTCCACCCAAAGCCCTCAGCAGGCAGAGCACTCATTCCCCAGAGGCTGGAAGTACTGGAACTAAAAGGTTTACATCTCCCTTCTCTAAAGAATTGTCCTTGGCTGGGCTCACTGGCTTACTCAGCATCCCTAGCCCACAATCAGCCATCAGTTAATGCCTGACAGACCCCGGATCAGTCTGAAGTTAACGACTGACAGAGCCAGGCTTAAAAAAGGCCAGCTCCCTACCCCTTAAGATGGAGGCAAGGTGTAATTCATGCTTCAGAGCCTCCTTTGGGGTCAGGCTATGTCCTTGCTCACTCTTTACCCTGCTACACCCTGCTTTGATCCCTTCCCTTCTCCTGGGGGCCCTCCTCCAATAAATCACTTTCCCAAAAATCATATTCCAGGCTCAGCATCTAGGGAGCCGAATGCCCACTTCGGCTGCCTCGCTGTGTTTAAACAGATGGCTGGGTGGGTGGGTGAGTGGGTGGAAGGAAGGCAGGAAGGAAGGAAGGAAGGAAGGAAGAAAGGGTGGGTGAGTGAACAAATGGAAGGAAGGGTGCATGCATGGGTGGATGGATGGATGGATGGGTAGATGGATGAGTGGATGGGCAGATGGATGGGTAGATGGATGAGTGGGTGGAAGAAAGGAAGGAAGGGTGGGTAGATAGATGGGAGGAAAAGTGCATGAGTGGATGGATGGGTGGGTGGGTTGGTGGGTACCTAGAAATTGCTTCCCTCTAATCCAAATCCTTCACTGGAAAGATGGAGAAACTGCAGCCTGGGCAGGCTTGGTCTAGGATGCAGGCTTCCTGGGTTTCCCTGCCTTCCTCACCAGCCAATGTCTGAGTCTGCTCTGGGCTTCCATCTCCCTCCCCTCTGCCTCCGTGGTTCCCTCAGGCCCCCCGAACCTGGAAGGCAGGCTGTCCTGGAGTGGAGCAGCTCCGCACCCAGAGCTCCCATCCTGGGCGCAGGCCCTGGGAGCTTCTCCTCTTGGGTATGGCTTCTTTCGGGGTAATCTGAAGTGTCTGAGATGCCAGCCTGTACCCTGGTCAGAGGGCCTGACTCAGTGGCAGGGTCAGAGGTGCTGGTCTGAGTTGTTCTAGCTGGTGAAAACAGTAACAAAGAAAAGGGTGTTAAGCAGAAGATGGGGTTCCCAGGGAAAACGTCGCCCCCCACACCACTGACAACACAAAGTGATTATGGATGTGCTCCATGCTAAGCTCCTTACGTCCAGTATATCTACAAACCCTCACAGCAGACAAGGAGACCTGCACTTACAGAGGTGAAGGACCTGGCTGAGGTCAACCAGCCTGTGTGCAGCGAAGCTGGGGTGTGAACGGCGACAGAAGTAACACAGAGTGTTCTCCATTCCAGACTCCTAAGACATCCAGCCCTTAACAGCCTGCACTCTACCCTAAATCTGCTGGGTCCCTGTCCCTTACAGCCATTCTGGCTGTGTACCCGAGTCTCATCCATGCTGTAGCTTCCTGTCTGATTGGGCACCTTACCTTTCCCCAGGGACTTGGCTCTGGGGAGCTTGGGAGAGTAGAGCGAGCACAGGGCTTTCCAAGGCCTCTCATGTTGGATCGTAGCCTTCTCGAGGGTCACCAGGGATGGCCTCTGTCCTTTCAAGAAGGAGAATTTCAGCCCAGGAGTCGGGGACCTGGAGGAGGAAGAGATGTTCCTGCTAGCACGGGCTACAGGCTTAGCAATTTCCTGCTTGCTTTTCTCCACCTTTGATTCAGCGGCTGGGGAAGCCAGGGACAGGCGGGGAGAAGATGCCTGTCTAGGCCCAGGCCTGAGCTGGACCATGGTCTCTGGGTTTCCCAGAGGTACTTGCTTCTTGGAAGCAGCTGGCTCTTCTGTGATGCCTGCCCCAGGGGCAGAGGCACGGTCCAGTGGTCGGTCAAGGACACCAAGGTGGGGGTCTTGGGGCTGTCGCTGTGCATTGTGTGCAGGTGTTTTATGCCTGGCCTTCCTCCTTGAGCTTGAAACACAGGGCCCCTTTTCTGAGCTTGCTGGCTTAGTTGGGGTCTGGTTTTCCAAGGAACGCCCCCCTCGGGGTCCCTCAAGAGGCAGTATCCTTTGAGACATAGGAATCTCTTTAGTTCCAGATGGTTCCTTCCGTGTCCCCAAAGTACACCCGCTCAATGTCGCCACCTCCCTGCTGGGAGACTCCTCTCTTCTGTCTCTGGTAAAGCTCAGGACAGTCACATAGTCTCCCGCCGAGCCCTGCCTGATCACATCCTCCATCCTGAAGGCCACCTCCCCGGGTCTGACTTGCTCCATCTTGATGAGTCCTGGATACTTGTCCCCAGATGTCCTGTTCTTACCTGTGGCCAAACTCTGAGCCAAAAACACCTGGCTGCCCAGGGAGTTGGTCTGGTACAGCTTTTGGGGGCTGCTCAAATGGAGTGACTTTAGTTGAAGGGAGCCCCCAGCTGGGGAGGGGGCATTTACTGTTTGGGTTCTACCATCTATAAATGCTGGGCTGATGATCTTGGTCCAGGGCACAGAGATAACCCCATTTGTTGAAGCCACTAGGCAGTTGTGTAAGGGGCTCCCCTCAGAGCTGCTATTAAAAGACTCTAGCCACTCATGGGTGAAAAGGTGAGAGTAGGATAGCTCGGGGACCAGCTTCTTGTCCACGGTGCGGAGGTCCAAGGACAGGCATTTGATCATCAGGCAGACAGACTGTTCCTTGCGGCGCTCAACTTGGAGGTAGAAGTCACCCTGGCGCAGTAAGAGGGGATTGAGCGGTGCCAGGTGGACCACCACCTCGTCCTGCAGACAGAGTGGCCAGCCCTCATGCAGAAAGACACAGTGGGAGAATCGGGCCTGCGGAGAGAAGGGAAGGCATCAGAGCCAGGCCTGAAAGGGACCTCACCTTCCTTCCTTCTCCCACATGGAACACTGAACAGCTGGAGAACAGGGAAGATAAAAAGAGGTCCTCGCCCTCTCTGCCTCTGTTGCCTTACTCTGACCAGGCCACAGATTTACCAGATAACCTTGAAGGAACGTCCCCACACACCCTTTCATTTTGCCCTAAAGTCATTCTAGGATTGAATGCTTATAATCTACTTATTGGTTTATTATTTAATTTTCCACAAATCTATCACCTATCTATCCATCTACTTACCAAGGTACACATCTGTCACCTATCTATCCATCTACCTACCTAGGTACCCACCTATCTATCTATCATCTATCTATCTATCTATCTATCTATCTATCTATCTATCTATCTAGGAGAAGGTGCCAGAAATTCTCTGAATAGGTACAGGAATGAATCCTTCTTAGTTGAGCCTCTGCACAGTGCTATGCAAAACCACTGTTCAAAAGTGACATCAAGTGACAACAGAAACTACATTCCACTGGATTGACAACAGATCTTTTTCTACCTGACTTTTGGCAGAGTCTGAGTGCTGTGGCTTGAGCAAGTCCCCGGCAATCTTATGTAATTTGGATGCGATTCTAAATGTCCTGCTAATTCAGCAGGCATTGAGGCAATAGTGAGCTCTGACCATATTTCTACCATAAGGCAATAAACCAGTTCGCAGCATAGCACTGTAGGCTTCGCCGCCTTGGAGAACCTTTCTCTCCATAACCCCTGGTGAGTCTCTGAGTGATGCCACCCTTCCTTGCAGCCCTCTGTTTTACAGTGTGCTTTTCTCCCCTTGGCATTGAAACAGAGGAAACAATGAAGCTGTATTTGTAGACCACAAAGCAGCACTTGACAGCTTGTCAAGGTGGATCTCACGATAACTCAGTAATGTAGGCCATTGAGGGTTATAATTCTCATTTATGCACCAGGAAGCTGAGGCACAGAGAGGTGACATAGATCCCCTAGTTCACAGAGATGGAACACGAATTTGAACCTGGACACCTGACCCCAGGGCATCCCGCTCTGAGGTGACATGAATTTGCCCATAATTACAGTCAAATTAAATTTGCCTATAATTAAAAATAAAGGTCCAGAAAGGCTGTGACCTTGTCACTGAGAGAAATGAGGAAGGGTCTTAATTGCCAAATAATGGAAGTGGCAGTTGTGTGGCTTATCAGGGAGAAGAAATAAGGACAGGGCGGGGAGGACCTGAGTGGACATGTGGCAGCTGGCTGCAAGTGTGTCCATGACAAACTCCTTCTCCTACAATACGAACTCCTGTGCATCAAGGGCTCCATGCGCCAGGCAGCGCACTGGGCAGGTTGAAATATGATCTCTCTCTCCTTCATGCTCCAACCATCTCCATTCTGGTTCCTAAATGACACACATTAGTGTGCCTTGTCCTTTGCTCCTCATTAGCTATGTCCCCGTCAGGCGGTGAGCAACCCCAGAAAGACTGGTGGGGCCTAAAAGCTCTTTGAGGTTCTCAGGGTGGGATTACAGGGAGTCAGTGCTAAATTCAGCTCTGCCTGGAATGGTGGCAAGCCTGTGAGGGGTGTGGAGAGTTCCCTGGCGGGCATCAGGTGTGATCTCCTCAGGGATCTCCCCACCCTTTTCTTAAACAGTCTCATTCCCTGACCACAGACCTAGACACCTGACTTAAACCTGATGAATTCCAAGTCACATTTCTCTGAGCCACGGTGATTGGTTCAGCAATGGACATGTGACTCAAATCTGGCCAATCAGAATGCTTCCTTGGATTTTTCTATGGCAGCTGCTGGGGAGAGTTGTTTTTCCTTTGCAAAGCAGGACCCAGTCCTAGAGCTTCTCTGGCCTCAGCCCTTGGGACTCCTAGTGCATAAGAATGATGCTGACAAGGGAGAAGCTGAGGCAGGAGACAGAGAGGGTCTTCAAGGACTCAGGTCTGGTCTAACTGAGAAGTCTATTGTTTGTGGTAATGCTGCCTGAACATTTTTCTCTCCACTTTGCCCAGAAGCCTCCCTGAAATCTGGGTTTGAAGGAGGCAAAAGCAAGAGTCCTGATGCCTCCAGGGCTCCAAGGAAGCTCTAAAACTTTTCTCTATTTTCATGGATGTTGCCCACTGTGGCAAAAGCAGCCTAGTGATACCCACAATGCCAGGCTCTAGGCAAGCTCCTTGGGATCCCTCAAGGACACCTCTGCAGGACTTCCTCCTTGCTGGTGGAAGTGCAAATGTCATTGGCTCCTAGGTGTCAGAGGGCCAAAGGCCAAGTGACCCTCCTGCTCCATTTGGGAGGCTGACATCTCCCTCTGGGCAAGCAGTGACCCTTGGAAAACCATCCACTTCCTCCACTCTTTGGTGAGACAAGACACACCAGCTAATTCCTTCTCTGCTCATCTCCAGCCCCATGGCCTTCTGGGAGAACTTGTTCCCAGCCCCTCACCCCTCCCGACTTACACAGGCTGCTTCTCTCACTTGCTCACAGAGGCGCTTGGCAGGGATCAGGAAATCCAGGAGGAAGCTCAGCCCGTCTCCCCTGAAGTCAGAGTCCAGGAGCCGGAACACCTGACCCAGGATGGTGGGCACTGTGGCCTCAAAGGGAGGATAGAGGCCTGCGAGGACATGCTGGATGGCTGCGTCCAGGGATGGGGACTCCTGTGGGTGGCAGCAGAGGATGGAAAATAATAGTAGTGACCACTTCCTGTGACTTTCCAGTACCCTCTGAGCCTATGAACGACCACTCCTACCCCCACACTCACATCCAACTTGGGAACTTCCCAAACCTGGCACCCCACCCCCACCCCCGTCCCTACCCAGTCATGACCCCACCATCCGGTCAGACTCCAGAACCTGCTCCTGGGGCCTCCTCAACCCCCCCGCCCAGCTCTCAGTCACATCTCACACAGCCTCCTCCCCTCCTGCAGTTCAGCCTCCTGTTGCTGCCCTGTTCCAGCCTCCTCCTCTTCCAGGGAATCACCTCACTCCAGCCATCCTCCACCAGGTCCCTTTTCAAACACACCAGCCTTGCTCACTCTCCCTCAGACTCCTCACTGGCTCCAGGAAGTAGCTAGCCTCCAGGGGTCCAGTTCCCTGGGATCTGACCACTGTGTGTGGTGCCAGCCTCACCCCACCTCACCTCTCTGCCTCTCTGTGCTTTTGCCAGGGTGGCACAAGTATCCTCTCACTCACTGCCAGCCTTTGCCTGCACCATTCTTTCCACCTGAAGGTCTCCCTCTTCCATTCCACCTGACCAGCTCCTTCTTATTCCTTCTTCACCTCTCCCAGGAGGTTTTCTCTGACCTCGCACCTGCCTCCACTCCAGCAGGATCAGGTATCTTCTCTTCTGATCTCCCAGAGTGCCCCATCATAGCAGCTCCTAGCCGGCTGCTGGCTCCCCAACGGCAGGTAAGTGCAACAAAAAGAATAACCCCAGAAGATGCGGGGCTTTGGCACAAAATAGGTGCTTAGTAAATTTTGTGACAAGATGAACAAAATGTCCTTCTCTCAACCACGTTTTTCTATCTCTAGATAGGCAAAGTAGACAAGGTCAGAGGCTTCTATTGAGCTACAGACTAGGATCCTTAGGTTATGACTTTCAACTTTGTTTATTTTGAGATAAGCTCTCACGATGTAGCCCAGGCTGGCCTCATGATCTTCCTGCCTCCAAGTGTTGGGATTACAGGCATGTTCCACCACGCCCTGCTTGATTCTCAACTCTTAAAAAGCACAATGAAACCCATTCTGCCCCCAACTGGCTGCAAGCTCCTTTATTTCTGAGGTGCACAGGGGCACGGGAGTGTACAGGTAGGACGTGCAGGGTTTGACTTTGCTTGGGGTATCAGAAGAGGACTCCAGGCCAGAAGAGCCCTTCCCTGGTCTGTCACCCTGAAGACCCCTGCCCCTCAGCTCAGTGGGTAAACAGACCTTCCTGGGCATCAAGGGCCTGTGTGTCACCTGCTCTGGGCTCAGCTCCACAGCACTAGGGCCTGCTGTCCTCCAGAGTGCTGTCCGTGGACACGCACACACTAAGTCGCCTGGGCCCATCACCCCTCTTGTGCCACATGCCCCACTCATCCTGCCTCTGCTGGACACGGATGCACCTGGGTTCTACATCACTGTGCATCCCTGAGTAGATTCACTCCCTATCTAGGCCTCTTTCTCGTGTGCTGGCTGAGCTGGGCTGTTTTATTTGAGAAATTTAATCATCTTGGTCTTTAGCCGCTCGTGCTGTGTACTGTTAGGGCTCACCGTTTTTCTCAAATCCACTCACTTTTTAGAAATGCGCGTTACTGTGTTTCTAGCATCTCACTGGTGATGAGAATGTAGCCACAATGCTTGGGTTCAAATGCTGCTCTGTCACCTACCAAATGTTAGATTTCGCCAGTTACTTCACTCCCCGTGCCTCAGTTTCCTCATCTGTGAAACAGAAATTGTAATCATACCCAACTTATAGACTTGCCTGAGACTGAATGAGATTATTACACATGTGGACTCTCTGCACAGGACCCGCATTAAGTAGGGGCCATTTCTGTCATTTTGTGGTTGTGTTTCAGATTACTACGACATCTCTACCGAAAGTGGAAAAGGGTCAAGCCAGCACAAAAAGAATGTAACTCCAAAACAAGCAATGAGACACTCATTGCGTGTTTTTTAAAATCATTGTATTTACACAAGTATATTTATTATAATAACTGATTTTATATATTTATATAAATAACAATATATAAATGTATAACACTTTCTTTTTTGCCGTGCTGGGCAAGCATGTATTTTTTACATAAAATACTTTTTTTTAACTGCTCTACTGCTATAAAAATAAATTATTTTTTCAAGGAAAAAGCAAATGATGAAAACAAATAGTGGTGTTAAATTTTAGTGACATCTAATCACCTCCCAACGGCTCAGGAATTCTCTTTCTCTTTCCCAAAGTGAGATTGCTATGCCAGACCTGGGTGGGCAGAGCCAGCCACTTTCTTTTTTAAAGATCTGTTGGCCAGAGGGCAGCTTTCCCTCCTCTGCAGAAGGTGCGAGAATTTCAAAGAACTGACTCCCTCCCATATTGTTCCATGTTACTTATGACCCATCTGATGTCCTAACTATGGGCTAGAGGCATCCAGCCTCTAGGACAAAACAAGCTGTTTCTCTCTTCCTCAGCATGCCTCAGTTTCCCCAGCTGTAAATGGAATTCTAGTTCCCATCCTGGCTGGCTCAGCTGATTGTCCCAGAGAGGGCCTTGGGATAAGCAAAGGTGTCACTGTTGCTATTCTTTTCACTCATCGTTATTTATTTTTTCTCAGCCTGCCACAGCTAAGGTCCAGACCCTGTGTGAAGACAACTCCCCTCCAGTGCCTCCTGAGTCCCCTGATCTTCCAGAGACAACAATGTCCAGGTACCTGCTGTGCACCAGCCCTCCACTCGTGTTTCTTGCTTAGACCCTACAACGATGCTGGTGGCTAAGCAGGGGCACCCCATTTGACATGTAAAGAAACGAAGGCTTAGAAAGAAGAAAAAGAGCTGAGATGCAGCTCAGACCTGGGTGGGCAGAGCCAGCCTTTCCCCCCTCACAGTTCCTGCTGCCTGCTCTGCCTGGGAGCCACCAGCCTGGGGGTGGCCTGCTCCCCCGTCTCCAGTGCAGCCTAAAGGAACTGTTTATCTCCGGAGGAGCAAGGCTCTTGGACTAAGTTGCCCTTGGCCTTCAGAGATTGGCTGGGTTCGCACACACCGCAAAATGGGGGATTGCTCCAAGTAACAGGACTCTGGGCTCTTGCCTTCCTACAGGCCTGTCCCCGGGGCTCCTTGCTGTCAGGGGCCCTGGTGGCTACAGTGGGAGCACTGGCCACTTGCCACCCCAAATGAGCAGAGCAGCCTGGCCTGGATCACAGGAATGAATGCTGTTGGCCAGACGTGGACCCCTCAAATGAGTTCTGTGAAAGTTGATAGACGTGTTTCCACTCCTTCCCCGTGTGCAGAGTGCAGCCTGGCTGACCCATAACTGCTCCTGGGCAGGAGCCGAGGCAGGGTGTGACACAGAAAAGGAAGAAGGTGAGACAAGCCAGAGTTGTCGCCACCTGCCAGCCCCTCCCCTGCAACCCAGTGCCAGAGAAGGAGCCCACCGCATGGACTGCGGACTGGCATGACTGGTCCATTGAAGGCTCCTACACAACACGAGGATTGTTACCCTCTGCACTGACAGGGTCCCTTGCATTGGGGCACGGGATAGAAAACCATCTACTCCCCGCCCTCATGTCTGGCCTCTGGCTGGGGGAGGAGCTGTGTTCAAATACTTCTATTTCATCATTTTTGCAATAAGCCTCAATTATTATTGAAATCGTAAGTATTTTCATCAACCAAAATAAACGAATATAAAGTGTGCAGACTGATACCTCTATACTGACTCCTAGAACCACAAAAGATTTCCAGCGCCCCACAAAGAAGCCTCCTTTTAACAGACTTCCCCTCTCCCAAACTCTGCTCTGATTATTACAGTACTTGAAAGGAGCACGTTCCATGTAGTATGACCACAAAATAGGTTTAGGCCCAGAAAAGTCCAAGTGGGCATTAAAGAGATGCTAACTGCAGTGCCCCCCTCCCCACTCCCCCCAGGGCTGTGCAGGCCGGGACCTCATAAAGCAGAGTTTTCTTTTTCTTTCTGGTTTGCTAGATTTTCCAAATGTTCTGGAACCAGCTCATATAGCTTTTACAACCAGCGGGAAGACATGAAAGTGTGATTGTGTGTTTTTAAGGCTAGTTCCCTTTTAAAATGGTCTCACCAGATGTTAGCTGAGCCTTCTGAGATGTGGGCTGAACTTTCTTAAAGGTCCAGAATTACCCGTTGACTCAATCAGGCAAAGATTCTAGTCTCACTTGGTGTCTGCTGCCTCCTTGCTGGGGAAGAGGGAGGACTGAGAACTATTGCGGTGGGCAGGGTCCTAGGGCTGCTGTGTGGCAGAAATGCCTGGGGAAGGCTAGGAGGGTGAGTTCAGTGGCAGAGCACTTGCCTAACATTCACAAGGCCCTGGTTCCATCCCCAGCACTGCCTAGGGAAGGTGAGATTCTGTCCCCTGCCTCATCAAGTGGCCGTGCCCTCAGTTTCTCCACTTGTAAAAGGGAAGCACTGGGCTTATCTGTGTCCAAGAGCCCTTCCAGTGGAGGCATTCTAGAATTCCAGGTGTATACAGACAGGTTTGGAGCCAGAAAATAGCTTCTAAATGAGATCGGTTGGTGAGAAAGTTTCAATGACTTGCCTCAGTCATCTCCCTGCCTCAGATCCAGGGTCAATCTAAACCAGCACCACAGACACAAATGTCTTCGGGGGCCATGGAAGACAGAAGTGGGCTGAGGGTGAGACCACGACCCCTGCAGCCTCTTGGCGAAGGCCTCTGACTCAACGTCAGCCTCAGGGGAGCAGTGGCCTGGACACGTGCCCCATCTTACCAGCCAGTGCGGCTTGTGGCCCAACACTGCCGGATCTACTGAGTTTTTAGTAAAACCTCCCAACAGTTTGAAGGTTGGCCAAACCAAACACATCTGTGGGCCAGATGCAGCCCAGCAGGTGGTGGGTTGTGACCTACAGACTCGACTACCTGGGACATTTCTCTTGAATTAGTCTAGGCTGAAGTTCTAAAGCCAGCATGCCGGCTGCCAGCAAGTTCTTGCTCACATCCAACTAAAACTTCTCCCCCTCTAAGTTCCTTTTATTTGTGTGTGGGTGGAGGTCTGAGGGAGAATTGGCTCTGTATTTCAAAACTGTCAAAAGTAGAAAACCAGCCCAGATTCAGTGAACCGAGAAAAGCCAGTGGGCGTCAGAAAACCCACGGTCAAGTCCAACTGTGTTGTGCATCGTCTGCATGACCCCCACCACTCACTTCACCTTTCCGAGCCTTAGGCTATGTCCCGTCTCTCCCTCTCCCCTTTGCCTCTTCCTGGGGCTCACGGTCTCCCATGCCAGCCACATAACAAGAATGGTTATAACTCGAGTTGCTTCTCACTGAGCAAGACTTCAGTGTCAGGCCCGTGCTAAGCACTTTCTATCTCAATTAATTCTTTGGGCTGGGTATTTTGTTCCTGTTTTACAGGTTAAGTAACTGAGACCGAGGCAGTTCTACAAATGGTAGAACTGGAGTATGAACGTGAGCACGAGCTAGGCTCCCCTTCGACCACCAAAGTGGCCTTTCTTATACAGACTCATGTGACTCTCCACTGCTCAACAACATCAGGTGGTTCCCTATTGCCTTGGCAACTCATTGGCCTGGCACTGTGGCCACGAGTCAGCTCCCAGCCTGCTTTGTCTACATCTAAACCTGCTTGATGCCAGGGTTTCCCCGTCATCCATGTGCCCCATATGCAAGGTCTTTTTCCCACATTCACATATCCTTACATGGATTTCCTTACTGTTTATAATCAATGCTTGTCTTCTTTTTTTTTTTTTTTTTTTTGCAGTACTGGAGTTCGAACCTAGAGCCTTGCGTGTGCCAGACAAGTGATCTACCACTGAGCTATGCTCCCAGCCTTTTTGTTTTTTATTTTGTTTTTGAGACAGGGTCTCGTTGCCTTTGCCCAGGCTGGCTTTGAACTCGAGATCCTCCCAACTCTGCCTCCCAAGTAGCTAGGCTCACAGGTGTACAACACCACCCCTGGCTGTCCCTCCAACTTCATTTGATTTTTTATTTAGTAGTATATGTTTGTGCTGTTTAAATTACTTCCTCATGCTCATTAAAATGAATATCTGAGGGGGTGGGGGGGAGAGGGAGGGGGTGGAGTGGGTGGTAAGGGAGGGGGTGGGGGCAGTGGGGAGAAATGACCCAAGCATTGTATGGACATATGAATAATAAAACAATAAAAATTAAAATACATAAATAAATAAAATAAAATGAATATCTGTAATTTTAAAAAAAGTTCATCTAAGTGCTACCTAAAGTCTCCTCCCAGAATCCATGGTGGGGCCTCACCTGGGAAAGGAGTACCTCTACACACATGTGTCTGCTCACACTACACCTTTCCCTGGACAGGGCGAGCTCCTACCCACCTTTGGGAGCCCTGCCCAACCTCCTGATCTTTCTTTAGCTTTTCATGACCCTTATGTTCCATGAGAGGAACAGCCTCAAACATACCATGGTATGGCTAGGAATCTCAGTGAATGACCAACATTCCCCAAGGGTCAAACACAAGCCCCAAAGGCCTGGCACACAGTAGGCACTTTGACAACATTGAATGAGTTGAACTGGACTCAACCACTTTCTCTCAAAGCATGGGATGGGATGGCAGGTGGCCCACAAGACAATTCAGGAGGGGGAGGGTCATGAACTTGACATGAAATCACAGCAAGAAAATGACTCCAGTTCTCTCCCAGTCCTCCTGGTGACGTAAGGAAGAAAGCCTCAGGCTGAGGCTGGTCTGTCTTGAACTCCTCTCAGACGCTTTGCCATTACTCCTTCCAGGTGGAAAGAAGAGCGCCTGGGCTCCGATGGTCTGCCACCAAGTCAACCCAACCAGCGAGGGCTCATGATCACAGAGCAGCCAGCACTGTCTATGCTTTCGATGGCAACAGATACTGATTTTTTTTGAAGTTATGATATAAACCTTTCCATTGAAATCTATTTTAAGTTTATAAAGTACATTGATTTAAAGAAAAATATTGAGCAAATTAGCAGATTTTATTGTTTACTTATATTTTATGCAGTATGTGGGTATATAAAAATTGTTTGAATGATATTGAAGTTTGGGGTATTTGGAAATGGATAAGCCTTAAGCCCCTTTGCTATAAGATTTTTCTAGAAAGTCATTAATCAAACCATCCCACACAATTTACAACTGTGACAGGTGCCATGAAGAAGGATATATGGCTAGAGTGAGAGTTAGGGACATGGGGAAAGGGTTACCGAGGATGTGCTATCTGAGTACAGATTTACAGGATGAATAGGAATTCCTTAGATACAGGCTCTCTTCCAAGCAGGAACAGCACGTGTAAAGGCCCTGGGGCACAAGGGAACACAAACCATAAGAAGTCTAAACCAAGGCCAGAGTAGCTGGAGCATAGAGGTGAGGCTAGAGAAGTGAGCATGTGACAATCTTTATTATTTAAAGACAGAGGGGTGGGAAACTTGCCCATCAGGCCCATTCACAAAACACTTGCTCAACCTCTGAGAGGGCAGCCAGTGTCTGACCCTTGATCTGATGCAGAGGTTTGTGGATTCTAAAACTAATAGCTAGCCTAGATCTGAAACCAGGAGAGGTTTGGCAAACACTTGGTGTAAGCTATGGCCCTGGGGTGACTGTAACAGCTGAGTGCAGGTTTAGAGTTCAGGCTGTCTGAACTTGCACTTGCTGATGGGGTGACTTTGGGCAGTGACTTACACTCCCAGAGCAGCAGTCTCCATCTGTGGGGTGGAGAGAGCAGCCAGTCTACTCTTACAGTTGATGTGAGTGACATGAACCCCCAGATGTAAAGCGTCTGCCACAAAGTCTGGCCTGTCGGAAGAAGTGACTAACCACTAGCTTGTGATGGTTCTTTTCACAGTTCCAAGAGCAAGTGTACACATCCTCCTGGCGTGTGCACTTGGGTACCTGGTTTTCTGCGTGTGCAGGTGTGTGCCCCTGTTTTGGCAGTGTGGGAAAGCAGGTGGACCAGCGTGTGTGTATGAGAAGGCACTTGTGTGTGTCCAAGGGTGTTGTGTGTATGTGTGCATGCGTGTACACCTCTCTATGGAATTCTGTATGTGGACATGCCCAAAAGTGCAAACCCACACAAATTCAACGTGGTGGATCACAGGCAAGGGCTTTAGCCCTGGCCTGTCTTCACAGCCCTTTTCCAAATTCCATGCGATTTGGAAAACAGCTCCTGTATCTGCCCTGGGCTCCTGGGCCTGTCTGGAGCTTGGCTGAGATTCTCTGAAAACAGACCTTTCTTTTATTCCCTGTTCCCGGACACTGGCACAAACACACACACGAACATCTCTCCCAGTGTGTCCCCAAAAGCACAGGTATTGAGGTTCTGCCCTCTCTCTGCTCCTCCCCAAGCCACCTCCCCACCCCATCCCATGGGAGCATCCCATGGCAGAGTGGTGTGCGCATCAAAAACAGCAAAAAGACCTCAACTTTTGGTAAGCCATCCCCTCCTCCACTCTACACCCTTCACCCTCCAAGCCCTGCACCGCTGCGCTGTCCTAGGAGGGACTTTGACTCCCATCCCCATCCCAACCCCGCATGGGGATCATGTGCCTATCTGACCATCAGCCCCAATCTAAAAAGCAAAACCACCCCAAGTTTTGTGCACAGCCCAAGAGCCCGGATTCCAGCTCAGATCTGCGCTGTGGGTTGGGACAACAGGAAAGTTTCCAAGTTGTCAGATCTGATTCCATCCATTGCGCGCACGAGAGAGGCCCAGACAGGACACCAGGGCACGGCCGAGGTGGCCTCCCGCACCCCTCTCCTCCCCTCGCCTGCGGGACTGGGGACAGAAGCACAGCCCTGGGGGACCCGAGTGAGGGTCGGTTCAATGCAAAAGCCCCCGCCGACAGGGGGCAGCGCGCCGCGGTCCAGACCTTGGCAGGCGTTACCATGGTGACGGGGTGCGGTGGCAGCTCCTCTCCTGCGCGCGGATCAGTGCAGCTACGGTCGGTTTGTCCGGCACCAGCGGAACCTCGCCTAGCCCTTGAGCGAGTGCCGCGGGCAGGCCCGGGGCTCCGAGCCCGTTTTCATCTCCGAGGGGCCGCCGGGCCCGGGACAGGGACAGTGACAGGGGCAAGGACAGGCCGAGAGAGGAGCGGGGACCGGGACTGAAGACTCGAGAGCGAGACGGAGGGCGGGCGGCGGCGCGGCCCCGGGCGAGGGGCGGCCCGAGGGCGGGGCGAAGCCGGGCGTCCCCACCGCTCCCCGCGTGGGCCGGGCGGGACGACAGTGGCCCCTTTGTGCGGCGCCCGCCCCTCGCCGCCCGCCGCGGGTGATGAGAACCAGGCCCGTGCCCGCCTCTCTCCTGTCGGATCCCCAGCCCCAGCCGGCCGCCAGTTGTGCAGCAGCGGCCGTCAGGCGCCCAGACTCCTCTCATCCACTTCCTTTTGAGCCTCAGTTTCCTCATCTGTAAAATGGGGAGGTGGTGGTGATGCCGATGGGGATAGCACCCGCCTCCTAGCAGGACTCCCCCAAGAAGTCACCCAAGAATCCCCATGAATCCTCCCTTCACCAGGACAGTCCAATCCAGAGCTCTGAGATGGTGGTGGTACTTTGGGAGATCTGCTTTCTTGACCTTGGCCAAACCATTTTTCCCTTCTAGGCTTCAGTTCTGGGGAGACACTGAAAAACCAGATGATGGCAGGTAGGGTCTGACAAGCCAGCAAATTCCTGTGTGGAACCTAGCCCCCACAGCGATGGTGCTTGCAGGTGATTACAGCAGGAAGGCAGAGCCCTCACCAAGGGGACACTGTGTCCTTAGAAAAGAGACCCCCCTGGAGGGCCACCAAATCCTTCCACAGTATGTGGACACAGCAAGAAAGTGTCACCTGTGAAGCAATGAAAGGCCTGCACCAGACACCAAGCCTGCCAGCGCCTTGACCTTGGACTTCCCGGGCTTTAGAACTGTGAAAAATGAATGTCATCCCACCTAAGGCCGTTCTGTTCTGTTACAGCAGCCCCAACCGAGTAAGACCATGCTGGAGTTATTTCTAATTGGATGACTCAGGAGTTCATTTATCTGTTTATCAAATGGTGTGCCAAGTGCCAAGTCAGAATAAGACAGGCAGTCCCTGTCCTCGGAGAGCAATCTCGTGGGAACAAGGGCAAGAACCGGACAAACAGAGAAAAAAAAAAAAACCTAGGGAAGCAACTGTTAAGAAGGAGGGAGACTGAGGCTGGTGTTGGGAGCTGCAGGGGATCTGCCTGGGGCTGATGGTGTAGGAAGGAGATGAGACGTCTGGGTCTGAAAGAGCTGGAGGAACTGGGTGAAGCCTAGGGTGTGGTGAGGGTGGCAGGGAACCGGAGATCCAGGCAGCAGGAACAGCATGTGCACAGGCTCTGAGGTAGTATTATGTTTAAAGAAATGGGAGAGAGCGAAGAACTGAAAAAGGAACAAGTCTGCAATAAAGTCTATGCCCTGCATAGGTTAATCAGATTTTTAGCAGAGGGAACCAGCGCTGGGAGCCATCCCTGTTTGCCATGTAACTTTCAGCATTTCCTTCACATCCATTGGGACTTCATTTGCTTATCACTAATTAGAAGCTGATAACCCTCCCCCCCCCCGAGTATTTTCACTGTGCCACAGTCCCAAGGATTCCTTGGATGATGCTTATGAAGCAATCAAACAAACCCTCCCAACCTGCAGGAGGCAGGCAGCTGGGTGGGTTGGGTACTGCTAGCACATTTGTTTAGGGGCAAACAGACTTGGGGACTGGTGGAGAATTCTGCTAGGAGGCAGAGGAGGTAACTTGGAGCTTTGAATCCCAAGCTGCAGTGAGACAGATTAACAGGACAACCAGCATTGGGGGAGGGGAAGGCAGGCAACAGAAGCATTGTGAATTAGTTAAGTAGAGAAAGAATGGACTGGAAGGGTATCATACACTCACAGAATCAACTCAGAGGCTGGGGGCCCAGCCTCTGGAAAGCAGAGCAGGAAGAAGGACACCGAGGGGGACCCCTGAAGACGATGGGAATGACACCAAGACGATCACCCAGAGGGGAGCTTTCTAGGTGTCAGCTACTCTAGATGTACATGTTATGTGGATTCAATTACTGTCTTCATTTTACAGGTGGAAAAGTGGAGGCAAAGAGCAGTCGTAGGCTTGCCTGGTGTCAGATAGCTGGAAACCTGGATGCCAGAATTGGACAAGGCCACCCAGTTCTAGAAATTATATTGGCTACCTTGCTGGGCTTCCTGAACAAATCCCAGCATTATCCTGCCTGTGTCACTCCTGGCTAGATCCAAAGCCTTAAAAGAAAGATCCTCACAGGGCCACATACCCAGGGCCACATACCCAGGGCCCCATAAGGATGGCACGTATCAGGAAGAGTTGTCACCCAGGAGGAAAAAGGATTGGGTAAGAAGGAGGGGCGATGGACACGAAATAGCCTACAGACAGCAAAGGCTGTTTCAGTCCACCCTTGGGTGCCTCGACATCCTTCATGTCTATGCTGATGTGAGTTCTTCCGTAAGTGTGCGGAACCGTGCACGTGTGTGCTCACACATGCACAAACACACCTGTATGGTTTGAACCCGTAGGATGTGTGCCCTCGAGGTTCACCTGTCTGAGCCTCAGATTCGTCCTTTGTAAACTGAACGAGGCTTCCTCATCCGACCGTGGTGAGAGTTGATCAAGTTAATGAGTGCAAGGTGCTTTGCACTGTGCCTGGTGCATAGCAGAATTCATATGCAGGGCTTAAAATAGCGTTCACATTTGGGGGCTGATGGCTGTGAAATCACCCTCCATAGACCCAGACTCAGCCACTGAGCCGGACTTGGTCCCTCTCTCAGGGGCTTTCCGAGGACTGCTCAAGTTTCACTTCCTCTCCACTGGCAAATGAGTAACTGAGTCACGCTCCTATTGCTACCCTAGTTTGAGAAATAACAAAATCATCCCTCTCTGACATCTGGTGGAGGGGGAGGCGGCACATGTTGTGGACATGGGCGTTGCTGCTGATGTTCTGGGGGGTCCGGGCGGATCCTGCTCATCTGGAGCCAGAGTTTCCTCCATCAGCTTCCAGTGGAGCTTGTAACGCCCTCCTTCCATGAGGGGGTTGCTGGAACCCACTGAATAATGCCTCAAAAGGGCTTCACGCAGTGCCTGGGGTGTACATGACCCTCAGAAAATGGCAGCTCTACCTGCCATTTTGAGATTCCCACAGCCTGGTGCCAAGACACCTCACCAGGGGACCAACTCACTTGAGAGAAAGGAGTTGTCTAATTTATCCAGAAAGTAATGGGATTGAGAATTCATTCATGCATTCAGTACCATGTATTTGTCCCTACTATAAGAAAGCAAGTGCTCGCACACCTGAATACGCTCACCCCTCCACTACCCATGCTAGACATCACTAGCCAACTGTGGAACTTCCTGCGGAACCTAGAAGCAGCCTCAGACTCCCCGTCAACAGGAGGGCTGACAGCAGCTGCCAATCAATATGGGTTGTCATGGAGACAATGTTGACTTGCCTTCTGTGGTCTGAAAGCTATAAGGCAGACTGACATTGGAGAAGACACCGGCTCCAGAGGGGCAAGACCTGGGTCTGGATCTTCATGAAAACCCCTGTGGACTGTGTGATCAATGAGCAGGTACCAAGACGGTGTGTCAGCCGTGGCGTCCCCCTCCATGAGAGCAGTGAGCTGTGGACACTTTCAGGATCTGCTTCAGTGTTTGAGCTGAGGCCAAGTGCCTCCTGGCGGCCCTAAGAGAACACAGTGTGAACGTTAGTCCACTTCCTGTTGCTATAACAGAATATCTGAGACTGAATAATTTATAAAGAAAAGAGGTTCTAGAGGCTGGAAAGTCCAAGGTTAGGTGGCTGCATCTGGTGAGGGCCACAAGCCTCAATGTGAGTCTTAGTGGGGATGAACCATGGTCAAAGGGTAGCTCAAAGTCCCTTCATTTTTACCTAATGAGGGTTCTTCTATGAGCAATCTCTATGCCAGCTGCCACGGGGCTGCCCCAGGTCTTCTTAGACCACATCAGCCTGAACTCTTTCCACCCACCCTCCTCCTCCCTCCTCCTCCCCTCTCCTCTCACCTGGGTCACACGTGCACCATGCCAGAGGCTGTGTCTTGCACTTCCCGTTCCCTCCCCCACCCATGACAAATCTCTCCTACCCTGTCTCTGTCTTTGGTATCTGTTTCCCAGAGGACACAGTGACAGGAGCCCCGAGCTGCATATGGCTGAGTTGAGGAGTGGAGCCCCTCTTTTCTGATGGGGAGGAGAGGGTGGCACAGAGATTACTGTGAGTGCTGGGAGCAATGAGTGACAGCCAGGGGGTGCTGAAGGCATGGTCTCCTTCTGAAAAAGTTGGTGGTCTTCACCAAGGGCTCTGACTGCAAGTGACAGAAACTCAACTCAACCTCTTTTGAATAAAAGGGACTTTAAGGATCTTACAAGTGAGAATTAGTGCCAGGTCTTTGTGGTCAGTCTTCTTTCTAATGCTTTCGTCCCTGTGATCAGAAGATGGTTCTGGGCCTCTGTGGTCTCAGCTGGGCAATCCTAGTACAAAGACAACAGCTTTTCCTGATACAAAGTAGTAATTCCAGGGAAGACCCTGATTGCTCTCACTTGGGTCACATGTCTATTTCCAAACCAATCACTGCAGCCGGGGGAATGAGGATATTCTGATTGACTGGAGTGGTTTCTATGGCCACCCTGGATGGGAGTACATGATGGTGCTCTAGCAGGGCTACCTGAAGTGGGCAGAAGTTCACCCAAGAAAACAGAAGGAGGGGCCTGGGGACACAGGTTAAAGCAACAAGAGCTTAGGCAGTTATTTCCTGCTTCAAAACATGGGGAAGAAATAAGACAGAAAAGGTGCTTTCATCCCTCAGGACTGGCCTTCTCACAGGGAAGATGCTGTTTAAATGAGTTTCCTCATCGGGCCCTAGGAGGGGACTGCAGAAAGACCTATGGCACACTGACCCTGTCCCCTGCTCTCCCAGACTACCACAGGTTGGTGGAAGGGACAGTTGGAAATAAGCAATGTAAACAAATCTGCTTGAGCCTGTGAAAGAAATTCAAAACTTTACCCTGTTAAGCTGTCCTGATTTACAGCAGAGCTCCACTTGGGAGGGGGGATTCACACAGTTACACGGCCCGGAAGCCTGCAATACACAAAGGCCCTGAGTTCAAATCCCTGCCTGCTTACCAACTCTGTGAGGAGTCTTGGGGAACCTCGGTGCTAGGGTACTGAGGTTATTGGGGCAGATGGTTGCAATGACTTTTGCTTTGCCTTTTGTCCCTGTGCCAGAATCACAAGCATTGTCTTGTCCTGCTGGGAGAAGTCGTGAGATACTTTTTTCTTTTTCTTGGAGTCTGGATCTCACTGTGTACATAGTCAAGGCAGGTGGTCTCAAACTTGCAGTCC